ATTTATCTGCCTTTTAGAGACAGACTAAGCACAGAGGCCTTAATTACAATAAAAAAACCAATGACAATGATAATGGTAGATATTTCAGCTAAGTTCTTCACATAGATTTTCTCTCATTTGAAATTCACAAAAAAATGATATTTTGATTCCCTACTCTGTAGAGAAGGAAGCTGAGGCTCATAGGAGCTATGTAGCTTTCATAAGCCCTTAGAGTTGCTAAAATGCAGATTGGGACTCAGACCAGGTATTTCTGGCTCCTGGCATCCACTCCACTCAAGCATACTGTGTACTGCTTCCTGAGGCATTGTAGCCACAGCAGTTCCTAAGACTGGCTCTCTCTGGGGATGCTGGTGGACAAGATGACTTTCCTTGTCCGCACTACTGTAGGAAATGTCTCTGGGAGTTTAATGCTCCAACACAGAAGAGAAATGCAGGAGAGAAGTGCTGATGACAGGAAGGGTGATCAAAGCTGTGAAGAGCCCCAGGATGCTGAACTTTTGGTCCAAGGTACGTCCTCTACCCATGGAGGGTCATGTGGGTCACAGAACAGACTCCCAGGGTTCTCTGCTGGAAGGTACTACTGGGAAGGCCTTCCTACCTATTGTCTAATCATACATCACATATATGCACACACATGTGTGCACATACACATACACATGGCTACATGATCCGTATTTTCCACTTTCCAGATAAGGAAAACAAGGCCCATTGGGAGCAGAGTTTGCTCAGAGACACTCAGAGGATGGTGATGGAGGTAGAGCATAGATATTCCACTGCCCTGGCCCTGTCCTACCTTCACCCTGACACTCTCAAGATGTACCATGAGCACTTTCTTCAGAGTCATCTTTTTTTTTTTTATCTTTTTTTCTCCCTGTAGCCCCAGCTGACCTGGAACTCACTATGTAGACCAGGCTGGCCCTGAATTCACAGAGATCTGCTTGCCTCTGCCTCCTGAGTGCTGGGATTAAAGGCATGCGCCACCACACCTGGCTCAGAGTCATCTCTTTCAAGTCAGAGGGAATATCATATGAATGAAGAACCTCGCTCTTATTTATCACTCAAGTACTTCCCATGTCTCCCCAATGCCGAAGAATTCAGTGCCCCCAATCTGGCATTTAAAACCTCACCTGCTAGCCCGGCGTGGTGGCACACGCCTTTAATCCCAGCACTCGGGAGGCAGAGGCAGGCGGATCTCTGTGAGTTCAAGGCCAGCCTGGTCTACATAATGAGTTCCAGGACAGCTGGGGCTGCAGGGAGACCCTGTCTCAAAAAGACCCAAAAAAAAAAAAACAAAAAAAAAAAAAAAAAAAAAAAAAAAAAAAAAAAAACACATCATCTGCTGTCTCCAGTCCCCTTCGTTGCCCTCCCAGCTGGAAAAGAACATAGGCATCATCGCCACAACACACTTGCCCATTGCATACTCCTCGTGAAGCTTCCTTGCCTACAACACTATGCCTCATAGTACCCCCAGCAGTGTCCCCACCCTATCTCCCTTATCTAAATCATCCAGCATTACTGCCTTCTCATTGTCCCCCAAATTTTCCAAACTCCGAGCACAAGCAGACGGTGGGCACAGCCACACACATCCATCATGAACAGGGATTCCTAGAGCCAGACAGAAGGAGCTTGGGCCCACCACCAGTCCCTCTGCCTCTCTTTGCCCATCTGAGGAATCCTGGAGTCCTGAATACCCATGAGGCTAATTCACATAGACAGCATGGCATGGAGCTGGCTGCAGCTCATACCAGGCCTCCAAGTAGTGATGCCTTGTCTTGGCTAGATGGGGTGGGACAGGAATTAAACATCCAACTTCAAGTTTGACCCTGTTCCCTAAACAGAGAGGAAAGAAATTTAATGGGCCAAGCAGAAAAATCCATACACTTGCTCAGATCCATGCAGAAAAACCTTCCTCAGGCTCACCCTCCATAGATTGGGGAGGCCCAGCCTACCTGAGGATGACGTACATGACGAGGCAGTTCCCCAGCAGCCCCCCGATGCACACAGCCAGGTAGAGCCCCACAATGGTGACCTTGAGCCCAAGGGGCAGGAAGGCACCATGGCTGGCATTGAGCAGCAGGTGGTGGGGTCCAGTCTCATTTAGGAGGGACAGGTTGCCCTGAAAGTGGCTGCCGTACAAGACTTCCCAAAATGGGGCAGGGAAGAGGGACTCCATGCTGTTGCCTTGAAAAGCCACTCAGTTCAGTACCTGGAATGGGGCATAGAAACAAATGACTACAGTATCAATGCAATCTACCGAGGCCTTGGAGCACAGCATGAACACATGGAACATCCACAAACACAAGGCAGACCCACACACACACACACACACACACACACACACACACACACACACCACACACATGCACATGGCAATACACATGGAGGTATGGACACACATACACCCCTGTAACATCATACTGGGGTTACAAACTCACACTGGAGCTGCGTGGAGGATAGCGACACAAGCACATGTGCCCACCTACAGAGACTAAAGGACACAGAGCCACCGTGTGCTCTTGATGCAGAGATGCATACACACAAATACAGAAATGTCCAAACCACCCTAATGCAGACCTGGGCACAAAAGACACAGGGATTCACCCAGAAATGCCTGGAGCCCGGGTGTTGCCCACAGCCTCCTCCTGCCCCTCCTAGCCTTGCCAGCAGCAGCAGCCACCCTCAGAAGAGGCCCTCTTACCGTATCCAACAGTACAGTCCCGACTTCCTACAACCTCCACAGAAACTGGGCCAGAACAGACCCTAATCTTCAGCAGAAAGGCAGGCAGGCAGAGGCATTGAGGGCTAAACACTGCTTCTCACCCCAGTAAGGGGCCTGTGTGGACTGTGAATGGCTCCTGATTTCTGCTCTGAAGACACCAACTAGACTAGACGCAGCAGCAGCCAGTGCGGCAGCCTGAAACTGGGGGAGGGGCAGAAGGCTGCAGCTGAGAGAGGGAGGGGCTGTGCTGGCTGGAGAAGGGAGCCAAAGGAAGGAAGATCACCAGCCCAGACCCCCTAGGTCCTACATCAGGAGGGGACAGACACGAGATCAGGGCATATATGAAGTGATGGAGCTATCCATTCTAGACAGATAAATGCAGGACCTGGGATTCACAATGGGGATATTCATAGATACAAAAAATGGAGACATAGGCTGGGTGTGGTGGTGCATGCCTTTAATCCCAGCATTCAGGAAGCAGAGACAGAGACAGAGGCAAGCAGATCTCTGTGAGTTCAAGGCCAGCCTGGTCTGCATAGCTAGTTCTGGGCCAACTGGGGCTACAGGGAGACCCTGTCTCAAAAGAAAAAAAAAAAAGAAAAGAAAGATAAATAGGCACATAAATAGGCACTCAGAAACACACACACAACTTTAGACATAGGGCCTGACGCAAGGAGATATACACAGACATACTGAGAAGCAGGTGTAAGGCCCCAACACATGCAGATGCTGCTTTTTACAGCCTAGCCCAGACCAGATTTGACTGGCTTCTCTTGCTGCTTTATACAGCCTAGCCCAGACCAAATTGGGCTGGCTTTTCTGCCCAAGCTGAGACCTTAACCAGGCTTTCAGTGGGGTTGAGCACAGCAGCAGCAGTCAACAATATGACCCATCTAGCTCTCCAAGTAGGGAACTTGTAAACAAATAAGAGATAGCCTAGACTGAGGGCCCAGTACTTGCCCTTGCAACTACTATGAGCTGCTTATGCCTACTATGTACCAACCCAACACAAACCTGAGCTCATGAACCCCACCTGTCGATGCCACCCACATCATCTCCATACAAGTGAGAGCATGAGACAACTCAGGTCTGAAAGCCATCTGTCAATACGGCAGAGATAAGGGGAAGCCCAGATCTGCTTGTCAGTTGGAGCCAGACCACAAGTACCTCTGTACAGCTGAGTGTGAGAGACAGATTCTGGTACACACACAGCTGACAGGATCCTAGGGACCTGCTTCCTTGCCAACACTGGGGTCACAGTCCACTGAGATGAAAGATCCTAAGTCAAGGCTATGTAGGCTAGGGACCCTGTGCTGAGTCTCACCATGTAACAAATCAAGGGCTTGTTATTCCTGCCTGGACTAAGTGAGAGCCAGACCTCCCACATAAAGACCCCCCTCCTTCTGCAAGAATAGGAACCTGGTTGCTAGGCAACTGGCAACAGTGTTGCTAGGATACCTGTAAAATCAGGAAAGGCCAAAGCAGACAGATGCCCCAGGACTCAGCATCCCAAGCTCTCTCCAAGGTCTTGTCTATGCAACTGAGATTCAGGGACACAGGGACATTCAGGAGAAAAATAAGAATACATTCCTGCAAGCACATACAAAGACAGGAACAGGGTGAATACACAGAGACAAAGATGATACATGCTCAGAGATGCAGAGATACATGCAAGTATACACACAAACTTACAAGGTACATGCAAACACATAGGCAAATATGAATGAGAATGTGAACTATGGCGGGAACAGATAGGCACAGACCTACAGACCAAGGCCCTCAGACACCCAGGGACCCTTTCTCTCTCTTCTCTCCTCTCTCTTCTCCTCTTCTCTCCTCTTCTCTTCTCTCCTCCCTCTCTTCTTCCCTCCCTCTCCCCTTTACCTCCCCCACTCTCCAGGCAAAGCTGGCCCCCTGACCTCAAGAGCTTGAGGAGGCAAGAGCCCAAACAAGCTCATATTCCTGAAGCCCCTTCCCCAGGCAACCCCAGAGTTCTCAACCAAGCTGCTGGGTCTGTTCCTCTACAGAGCCTCTTTTCCTAGTAGCCTTCAGTTGCCTACCAGCCCAGGCTCCACAGTGGAGGAAGGGATGATGTAGGTACTATAAGGGTAGGCAGATCAGAGCCACAGAATGTCCATTCCTTTCTCATAACCCTGGGTTGGCTCCTGTGTGCCTCATCTTGCTCCACCTGCAGAGGTCTCACCCATAAAGCCAGCTCCAGACCTGCCTATTCCAAGAGCCCTTGGCCCAGCTTGGTCTCAGCAGATATCTGTGAGAGTGAATCAATGGAGCCTAGCTCAGAATCCACACACTCATGTGCTGTCTCAGATGGAAGAACAAGCTTGGTCACCTAGTAGGTTAGAGCACTGATGGTGTAGAGGAAACAGCTAAGGCTTCTTAATCCCAGACAGGAACTCAGCAAGGACAATCAGCCTTTCCAGAGGAGTAGAGACCCCAATACAGAACATATGTGTCACAAAAGGGTCAACAGGGGACACGTTATATAAGAGTATGTACTGAAGACCCAGATGTACCAAAGATGCAAGTAACATAAGTAACAGCACACACTCTTGTGCACAGGGCACTGTTGAAGCCACCAACAGGGCTGCATGTGGGTGTCAGAGGCACCTGGGTAAGGTCCAGAATCAGACTCCACACACATCAATGACCAAACATACCTTACCATTGTATCCAGAGCCTCAGTCCCAAATGGCAGACTGGAGCTGAAGCCTCACTATCTGGGCAGGGTGCTGTCTGCTCCCCTCCCTTCCCACTCACTTCCAGTCCTGGATATTAAGCATAGGAATCAAAGAAAGGATCTGATGGTCCACACAGAACAGCTGCTGCCCAAAGAATTCAGTCACCAAGCTTCAATTGGTCACTGGTGATGGCAAAGCAAGCAAAAAGATTTTAGCAATTCTGAGTTTCAACAAAATCAATTATTTTGTCTTTGTGATTTCAACTTCATATAATTTATGTATAGAATCAGGTATGTAGCTCTATGGTAGTATGCTTTCCTAGCACTCATGAAGCTCCAGAACCACATACACACACAAAAGTACAACTTGAATTGCAGTTTTTCAATGTAACATTAAATTTTGTAGTTATTGCCAGGCATGATGGCACACATTTTTAATCCTAGCACTCGGAAGGTAGAGACAGGCAGATCTCTGTGAGTTCAAGGCCAGACTGGTCTACATAGCAAGTCCCAGGCCAGCCAGGCCTACATAGTGAGACCCTGTCTCAAAAAAAAAAATGTGGTTATTTAATAAAACTCATCAAATAGATTTTGAAGTTTTATATTCAGGCCTTAATTTGTCAATAAACAGGCTTTCAGGTATCCATTGATCCTTGACACAAGTTCTGGGCACATAAACAGTAGCAAGGCCTCCACACAGGCAGAGAGGCACAGTGTCCAGAAATGCACTGGGCCCTTAAGGTCCCTGGTTAGGAGTGAGGGGAGGGAGAGTCAGGGTTCAGGTGCCTGATTAAAAAAAAAAAAGTAATAAGTAATGATAAAACAACAACAACAACAACAACAAAAAAAAAGAACAGTTCTCACCTCAAAGGGGATTAGCAATAGTTTATTCTGGAGCCAAATATGAATGACCATGGCCTAGGAATACAGATTCATGTTACCCCAAATTCCATGTTCCAACATAGTAACAGTTTGATGAAGTTTTTATAGTAACAAAACAAGAAAGTAACAAATCAAAGCTCTTTTCAAATACATTGGCAGAAATATCAGCCAGGCAGATTATAACAAAGTGAGGCGATCGATCTCTGCTGTAGTCCTCAGATGCTAGCTGACAACATTCTTAGCTTTTTAATTGGCGGAAGCTAGTGGTTTATTCATAAACTCCAAAAGATTTCACCCGTTAGTCACAAGCATCTTAGGCCAGACACAGAGGTGTCTTTTTATTGCTATTTATCTTGGGCTAAAGATAGACTAAGATAAATAGCAATTAGGCTCTGGACCGGCAACATTCCAACTTTTTTATAGGCTTTGAAGTTATAGTCAGTTTGCCATCCTTGAAGAAGGCTCAGTATAAGGTGCAGTTCTTTTCAGGAACTTTTGTTTGCTGTTTCTCCTACTGACCAAGCATCATATTTTGTTCATGTGGGAACCAAATATAATTCTTCCCTCATTGCTAGGAAAGATCATTCCTAACAACTGATGTAGATGAAACTTGAGTAGTAGGAGGAAAGCAGTCTTCAGGAGAGAGAAATTGCTAGTTAAAGGCATTAAAAATGAAACCCCTGAATCAGAACATCAAATCTCCTAGCCATAATGGTCTATTTATTTTTTCCTCTGTGATATATAGTAGAAGTAATACACCTAAAATTAAAATAATCAAGAATACTGTCTAGCCTAGAAAAGCAATGGTAGCAGATGAGGGAAAAAGATAATTTAAGTATTTTATTTATTATTTTTATTTTATGTGTATGAGTGTTATGCCTACATGTAGGTAAGTGCACCCGTGTCGTACAGTGCCCTCAGAGGTCAGAAGAGACTGTCAGCCCTGGAACTGGAGTTACGGACAGTTGTTAGCTGCCATGTGGGTGCTGGGATTCGAACCCGGAATCTTCTGCAAGAACAGTCAGTGTTCTTAACCACTGAGCCATCTTTCCAGCCCTGGAAACAGATAATTTAGCAAGCAAAAATTACATTGCTTTAGAACTAGATTGATTATATATTTCCCCCTGTATTTACAGTTATTTATACTCTTTGAGTTATTTTACTTTATAATTGGAGTATTTAAATAAATTATCTTTTTTTTTTTCGGATCCCCTGGAACTAGCATTATAGACAGTTGTTAGCTACCATGCGGTGCTGGGAATTGAACCTGAGTCCTCTGCTAGAGCAGTCAGTGTTCTTAACCACTGAGCCATCTCTCCAGCCCCATAAATTATCTTTTTAAAAATATTTTATTTATTAATTTTATATGAGTGTTTTGCCTGTAAGTAAGTGTACCACGTGCATACAATGTCTGCAGAGGCCAAAAAAGGGTATCAGATCCCCCGGAACTGGAGTTACAGACAGTTGTTAGCCACCATGTGGGTGCTGGAAATTGAATCCAGGTCCTCTGAAAGAGCAAGCAAGTGTTCCTAACCACTAAGCCATCTCTCCAGCCCCTAAATAAATTATCTTTTAATTTTAGTTATTCTTTTAACCAATTTGATTCCATATCTATAACCTCACGGGG